CAGTCACTACTCACCACAGTAGGCTGTACAATACTGTCTTTATGAACTATTGTATGCCAATTGACTTAGCTGTTTTCTAAGAGTATGACCTTAAATTTCCAAGTCCAGAACAAGGCCTTGGTTTTATCAACATGGTGTTCTACCTAACCAAGACAATAAGGCAAGGACTTGTTCAACTATAGTATATGCTCTTTACTGTTATTGCTGTTGTTATTGTTGCTAAGTACCATCCAGCTAGGTCCAACTCATAGCAACCCCATATAGGGTTTCCAAGGAGTGACTGGAGGGTTTGAACTGCCAATCATGTGGTTAGCAGTCCAGTACTGACCCTACAGTGCCTCACCAGAACTCCATGCTATAGACTTTCCAATGCTATATAGCTGCCTCCTCAAAGTAAAGTTGATCATAATGACATGAATTGTGTAAAGCTTTAGGGATGGAGTACAACTCAAAATGAGGAAAAACAGCTGTAAACATTCATTAATAATAAGAATGTGGAATGTGCGAAATATGAATTTAGGAATAGTGGATGTTGTCAAAAATGGAACACATAAAAATCAATATCCTATGCATTACTGAGCTGAATGGACTGGCACTGGCCATTTTGAATCTGATAATCATGTAATTTAATATGCCAGGAATGATGAAGAGGAATGGCATTGCATTCATCAACGAAAAGAACATTTCAAGATCTATCTTGAGGTATAACACTGTCTGGTAGGATACTGTCCATATGCCTACAAGGATGACCAATTAATACCACTATTATTCAAATTTATGCACCAACTACTAAATCCACTGATGATGAAATTGAAGAATCCTACCAACTTCTTCAGTATAAAATTGATCAAACATGCAATCAAGATATATTGATAATTACTGACGATTAGAATGCAAAGATTGGAAATGAAGAGGAAGGATCAGTAGTTGGAAAATATGGCCTTGGTGATAGAAATGATGCTGGAGATTCCATGATAGAATTTTGCAAGACCAATGTCTTGTTCACTGCAAATACCTTTTTTAAACAGCATAAAAGATGACTATACACATGGACCTCACCAGATGGAAGACACAGAAATCAAATTGACTTACATCTGTAGAAAGAGATGGTGGGAAAGCTCCATATCATCAATGAAAGCAAGGCCAGGGCTAGACTGTGAAACAGAACATCAATTGATCATATGCAAGTTCAGGCTGAAGCTAAACAAAATTAAAACAAGTCCATGAAAGCCAAAATATGCATTTAGAGATCATCTCAAAAACAGAATTGATACATTAGACACTAATGACCAAAGACCAGAAGAGTTATGGGATGACATCAAGAACATTATAGAGGAAGAAAACAAAAGGTCATTCATTAAAAGAGAAGAAAGAAGGAAAAGACCAAAAGGTATGTTGGAAGAGACTCTGAAACTTGCTCTCCAGTGTAGAGATGCTTAGGTAAATGGAAGAAATGAGGAGATGAAAGAGCTGCATAGAAAATTTCAAAGGGTAGATCGAGATGACAAAGTCAGGTATTATAGTGAAATGTGCAGAGACCTGGAGCTAGAAAACCAAAAGGGAACAACACACTCAGCATTTCTCAAGCTGAAAGAAGTGAGAAAAAAAATTCAAGCATCGACTTGCAATATTGGAGGATACTATAAGCAAAGTATTGGATGACGCAGAATGAATATGATGAATAAGAGCCAGTGCTTCTGAAGGAAGAAGTCCAAGGTGCACTGAAGGTACTGGCAAAGAAACATTGAAATGTTTCAGTCAACTGATGCACAACTGGAGGCACTTACTCATCTATGCCAAGAAATCTGGGAGACAGCTGACTGGAAGAAATCCATATTTATGCCCATTCCAAAGATAGGTGACCCAACAGAATGCAGAAAGCATCAGACAATATCATTAATATCGCATGCAAGTAGATTTTGCTAAAGACAATTCAGAAACAGTTGCAGCAGTACATTGACAGGGAACTGCCAGAGGTTCAAGGCAGATTCAGACAAGGACGTGGAAGAAGAGATATCATTCTGATCTCAGATGGATCTGGGCTAAAATCAGAGAATACCAGAAAGGTGTTTACCTGTGCTTTATTGACTATGCAACGGCTTTCAGTTGTATGGACCACTTTGAAGAGTATGAGTATTCCTGAACACAAGTGCTCATGAGGAACTTGTTCATAGACCCAAGAGGCAGTTGTTCGAACAGAACAAGGGGTTCACTGAATGGTTTAAAATCAGGAAAGGTGTGTGCCAGGATTATATTCTTTCACCATACTTACTCAGTTTGTATGCTAAGCAAATAATATGAGAAGCTGGATTATGTAAAGAAGCACATAACATCAGGATTGGAGGGAGACTCATTAACAACCTGTGATATGCAGATGATACAACCTTGTTTGCTGAAAATGAAAAGGACTTAAAATATTTATTGATAAAGATCAAAGACCACAGCCTTTGGTATGGGTTGCACCTCAATGTAAAGGAAACAAAAATCCTCACCACTGGAATAATAAATAGCATTATGATAGCTGGAGAAAAGATTGAAGTTGTCAAATACTTCATTTTGCTTAGATCCACCAACAACACTAATGTTGTCAAGAAATCAAACGACGTATATTGCATTAGACAAATCTGCTGCACAAGACCTCTTTAAAATGT